AAAGTTTCCAGGTATTGCTGCTGATCCTGATCCAGGAACAACACTTGCAGTAGTAAGATGGAAGCTAATCTACAACCCCTGAGAAGCAGCTCACTGTATTTGCCATGCTGGTTTTTTCAATTACTTGTGGTTGACTTATAATAACAAAAGTCAGTAGAGATGCACCTTCCCAATCCCCACTGAAGTTTTATAAGATAATTTCAGAGGAGATGCAGGCTGCAGTGTTTATACTTATCCCATCCACAATTACTATTATCTGCCTCTCTTTGTGCCGGGAGCTTTCCTAAACCATTAGACTGAAAGTATACATAGCAGCAAACCCTCTCACAGCCTCTCAATAGAGAGAAAGTCCATCAAAGCCAAATAGAAATAAGCTACCAATATCAACTATACTAAGTTCTCTGGAAAAATGCACAGAAATACAAGATATCACCCCTTTCAATTCATGTTGCCTTTGGGAAATAAGGTTTGCATGGGACAACAGGGCCCACAATTCAGACCAGAAGTGTTCACGACTGAAGGAATAATACTGAAAGGATGCACTGTGGGAGAAGAGAGCTGAAGAATGTCACTGTAGGATACTTCATTAAGAATAGGTGGAGGATTTCAGGGGAGTCTCAGAGGAGAGTAGCTTGTACAGTCAAGGCAGATAGGAAATGAACAAGCCAGAGGATCCCAGGAGCAGCTCGGAGAGGGTTGCCTTGGTATTAATATGAGAGGCGGGACAACCAACCCAGGGGGCAGGAGACTGAGGAAACAACTTAATGGGGGACAGAAAGGGAAACCAGAATCAGCTAAATCCTGATCCTTTGAGGTCTGTAATTCTTCAGAACTGGAACTTGAACCATGATGTCACATTGAATGATCTCAAAATACCATGAATACTCACAACTTTTGTCTACATACATAAGAGTTTTTAAATAGTAATACCAATATTTAACTGTTATGCACTCCTTACTTGCCAGGCACCATTTTAAATGCTTCTGAAGTTTCTTTTATCCTCACAACAATCTCATAAAATAGCTATAGTATCATTATTGCTAGAACACAACTGCTGTGGTTTAGACCTGTGTTCAGAGGTAGTAGGTCTCTTGAAGGTGATCAGATCATGGGCATTACATTCACTGATGAATGCACCCACTGGTGAGCTCAGCACCTGAGGGTGCTGTTGGAAGGTGGGATCTGGAAAGGTAGGTCTCCTGCCCTCATGCTTTCTTCTCTCTCTGCTTCTCGGCCACCATGGTAAGCAGCTTCTCCCCATCACAGGCTGTTCCACCATGTGATTGTTCATTGGAGCCTTCCACAGTGGACTGAAGACATGAGCCAGAATAAGCCTCTTCTCTTTAAATTATGAGTGTTGTGTCCCAGAGATGAGACAGTGACTATGAAAACAATCTGCGTGAAATCAGAGGTTTTGTATGTCTTTCAATCCTACAGTGTTGTGTTTCAAAAGAGTGGATAAATCAATAAATCCTGATTCTTTGGGTGAGAAACAGTAGCACAGAGAGATTAGACACTGTGCACAAAGTCATATTAACCAGTGAGCAACAGAGTCGGGGACTCAGATTTAGATAGTTTGTCTTGGTAGCCATGGCTACTCTATCATGCCGCAAGCCCTCCAGTTTAAAGCTATGGATTTCATCATTTTTACTATGCTACATCTTTTGTGAGTGGCCAAGACCAGGGAAAAGCGGGGAGGGTGTCACCGGCCAGCACAGGGAGGGGTCGTCTCCACAACATTCCATTTATACCCAGAACTAAATAGACAAGCACAGAGTCACTATTCTTGTTTCCATGTCTGTCATTTTTGTGCTGCTGTAACAGAATGCCCAAGATTCATTTTACTCTTTCTTTAATTTTATGGCAAAAAGGTAAAACAAAATTTCATAATAAAATAGTAGGAGAATAACAATAATTAATACATTACATGTTGTTATCATTAAAGTAGTTGCTTAGGTAGAGGATATGGGCATAAAAATTTCTCCAACTGATATTAGCACAAACCTTCTTTTTAATAAACTAAGAGACAGTAATAGTACAACTGATTTATATTTATTCCATACTGTCCTTTTTCCTTTCACCCATCCTAGTTCCTAGACCCATGCCTATCACCATGCACTAAACTAAAGCCAAAATGGATCAAAATATTAAAACAGAAACACTAAATCTACTGGAAGAGAAAGTAGGCAGAAATCTTGCAAACATAGCTGTAGGTAGACTTCATCCACAAAGCCCAGACTATAAGAGAAATACTCCAAAGAATCAACAACTGGGATGTCATCTTATTAACAGGCACAGCAAAAGTAATCACCAACAGAATGAAAAGACAATCTACAGAGTGGAAAAAAAGTTTAGCTAATTGTCCCTCAGACAGGGACTTCTATCTGGAACACATAAAGAGTTAAAAAAAATCAGACCCACCAAATTCAAAGACTGAATAAAATAATGGGCATCTGAGATGAATACACACTTCTCAGATGAAGAAATATAAATGGCAAATAAATATATGAAAAAATGTTCAACTTTACTGGTCATTCAAGAGATGCAAATTAAAACAACACTGAGATTCTATCTCATCCCAGAAAGAATGGCTATTATCAAGAAATCAACCAACAACAAGTGCTGGAGGAGCTGTAGGGAAAAAGGAATCCTTCTCCACTGTTGGTGGAAGACTTGTGCAACTTTTGTGACAATCAGTGTGGAGATTCCTTAAAAAAACTAGAATTGGAGGTTGCATTCCACCCAGCTATTCCCCTTCTGTGAATCTTCCCAGAAGAACTGAAAACGTCATACCACAGCAATATATGTGCACCCATGTTTATAGCAACACAATTTGTAATAGCTAAATCTTGGAAACAACCTGAATGTCCATCAACCATGGAATAGATTAAAAAGTTGTGATATTTTTATACAACAGAGTATTACTCTGCCATAAAGAAGGATAAACTTGAGACTTTACTCATCATAGGTAAATGGATGCAACTTGAGACTACACTCATGAGTGCAATAAATTAGACTCGTGTAAACATCGCATTGTCTCCCTGGTGTGAGAAACTGAAAGAGTAAATAAGGTCTAAATGTACAATAGATATTGTGAAATGCCAAGATTAATTTTAATAAACAGAAATTTACTAGTTTACATTTTTGAAGGCTGTGAGGCACAGAATCAATCAGCTGGCATCTGGCAAGGGTCTTTGCGTGGCATCATGTCACTGTGAAAGGTAGAAAGGACAAAAGAGCCTAAAGGTGAAACTTACAGCCTCACACAAACCCTTTTCTAATCTCCATTAATCTATTCATGAAGTTTCCAACACATGCTTTGTGGGAGACACAGTCCGACCACAGAAATGAGTACAATTGCAATTAATATAACAAAGAAAGTTAAGTGTGAGTTTGGGGTGGAATTTCACTTAATATATAAAAACTAATGCCCTTTTATACACATAAATTCCATAATTCTCACAACAATATTGAGTGACAAGTGTCAGTGATTATTTTGAAGTTAGAAAGGTTTACCACAGGTCTAAAATCACAGTTTGTACCTGACTGGTTGAACCTAGGTCCCCAGACTATAATTCTGGTCATGTTTCATGATAAATTTCTCTTTTAAATATAAAGCTATCTTAAATGGCTGATGCCTTGCTTATTTACTTAAATGCTTTAAGATACTTTATCATTTTATATACGTTTTAACATATGTTTATGGTGGGTCAGTTATAATTCTAAAACCTAACAGAGAATCTCTATCCCAGAAGGACCAACATCTTGGTTGGGACAGATATATTAGAAGCAAAGCAAAAGCAAGTTGGTAAACCCATTGTGCTCTACCTGAGGTGCCTGTAAGGAGAGAAAAAATTCCTGCAAGGTCTGGGATAGTATTTCAGAAGAGGGTACCATACAGGGCATATCCAGTGCTGCCTTTATAATGCCGAGGTAGGGACCACATGTCGCTGTGTGTTCCCCGCTCCCTGCTCCCCGTTATTCAGGCCACACAGTTGTTCAGCATTGTCCAGTTGTCTTTCTCCTTTGTGACTCTGCTCATACTGTATGTCCCTCAGCTCTTGCCTGATTGGATCAGACCTTTCTCAAGATCAAGTCAGTTGAATCTTCTCCTTGAAGGCTAAGTCATCACCCAATCACTTTGTACCTGTTCTATATCCTATTTATATGTATAAGATAGACACTGTAATATTTTACTTAATGTTGCCACGTGTTTGTCTTCCTCTAGCATACTAGCATCTTTCTTTTTTTTAATTTTAAAAATAAAAGGAGGAAAACATTAACAGACAGACAACCTTTTACAAAATAGCAAAAGAACAGTATAGACAATACAGAATTACAAACAAAGTGGTAGGAATTTAATAATGCTTGTATTACATGTTGATATCTTTAAAGTGGTTTCTCATGAAAACAGATAGAGACATGCAATACTGATCAATCAAGGACTCATTGACAGTTTCTTTCAGCGAAGAAATAGAATACAGTAGAACAACTATGTTAACTATCCTGTATATGCATACATACAAAATTTCTCCTTCTTTACCTTCTCTTTTCCCCCATCCCACTTGCCCTTTACCCTTGAGCGTTTTCTTATCATTTCACAATGTCTATCATACCTCCTAGTTTAAATTAACTCTTTCAGGTTTTACACTAGTGAGACAATGCACTGCTTGCACATGTATGTTTGATTTATTTCATTTATGAGTATGGTCTCTAGTTGTGACCATTTACCTATAAAGGCCTCGAGTTTATCTTTCTTTATAGCTGAGTAATATTCCATTATATAAAAGAACCACAATTTTCTTATCCAATCCTCGGTGGATGGACATTTGGGTTGCTTCCACAATTTACTAGCTTTTTTCTGTCAGAGACCATAACCAAACATCTTTTGATACTCTGTGACCAGCATTCTGCGCTTCTAGCATTTTCCTTTAAGGATGGTAGTTTTCAATTACTCATTTATTTTCCAGTTTCTAAATACACATGTGTTCACTCTACAGGATTAAAGAAGACATAGCAGATGTGCTACAATGACAGTGAAGCATCTACGTCTGTGATTAAATCAGGATTATAAAGGTAAGTAATCCATTTATAGGCAGCACATGAATATTGCATGGGTGAATACAGAGTAATAAACAGTACTCATACCTGGCATTTGTGTAGGCCTTTTGTTATTCTAAATTCTTTACACATCATGACTTTTTACCTTTATAATATTCATCTAAAGTGAGAAGCGAACTTACCTACTTTTATGGATGTGAAACCCACATGGGAAGATTGAGTGACTTATCTATTTTTAGTTTATAACCAAGGAAGGTCTCAAATCGAGTTTCTTGACTCTAGTTCTATGCCCTTATACAAGGACATGAATGATGACATTTTTATGGGCTTGTGTGTTTAATATATATCATATTCAAAAGGGACCATACTGATTTTGTTTTTTTTTCTTTTTTTGGTACCAGGAATCAAATTCAGGACCCTGCACTTGCCAGTCAGGCACTTGTACTGCTGAGCTATATCCCCAGCCCTCCTGATTCTGGTTTTTAGATATAAACAAATGAAAGAAAAAGTTATCATCCTCAAGAAATTCATAACCCAAGAAAAGTATAACAAATAACTAGTTAGCTAATTTTAACAAATATATTACACTTTTAAAATATATTATATTTTAAAATATACTTTTTAAAAGTATAACAAATAACTAGTTAACTAGTTTTAACAAGTGTTAAAACTGTAAACATATGATATGTCAAACATCATAGAGACTCCAGGACATTTACTCAGTCAGGAACCATACGGTCCAAGGAAACTCAGAAGCAAGAAAGGGCAGTTGGCTGGCAAAGGCTTTCCTACAAAGTCATTGCTTGAAGGACATTTCCTAGTTAATTAACAAAGGAATTAAAACTAGAGAAAATGCCATTTGGGGTAGAACAAGCAGAATGTGCAAGGGAATGGAGTCATGTAAAAATATGGGACCGTCATTTTGAAATTTACTTGCAAAGCTGTTGTAATTGTTATTTCCCTAAAAGGATCAGTTCTATCATCCAGGTCCTTCTTTCTTGAGGCCTTGTTGCTCCAGGTGATCCTTGGGAGCTCCTTGTTGCTCCTTGGGAGTTATGTGTGCAGATATTAGCTGTCAGCCTCTCAAAGGGCTGCTTCAGCTACAAAGCCCTCTCATTCAAGGTCATGCTCTTTCCTAGGGACACCCACATGCAATAACTGATCCATACAGAGGTGTAAAGACCTGACCACTTTGGGGCCAGCTCAGAATACTTGTTAAGGGCCGTTTTAGCTTTTAGAAGTCACTGTAAGTTTGGCTGAGGCTATAATCAAGCCTGCACTTCAGAAGAACTTCTTTTACCCATCCCTATTTCCACAGGAGTCAGCCCACAGAACCTTCTTTAATAAATACTTTAATCCTCATTTCAAGACTCTGCTTCCTGGGAAACCTTCCCTGTGATGCGTGACACCAGAGGAAGTCTGTATATGTTGAAAATAAGATGCTGTTTGCAACAGCATTACCTGCTGCTTCACTGGGGATACATGGAGGACAGGTAGCCCTGACACACGTGGAGGTCCAATAATTCAAATTCTCACTGGTGACCTGGGATGGTAGAAATGTGAGTGGGATATACCAGGAAGTACTATGTATCTGGTATTTGAAGAACAAAGAGGCAATACAAACTGTAAGAACAATAGAATTATGTAGCTATTTTCTAATCTTGATCTGGAAGAAAGATAGCAAAGGCTGAGAGAAATTTAGAGATCCCTGAAAGCAAGTATGAAACCAGAGAGCTCTTTGGGTAGCATATGAAAAGAATTTCACTGTTTTCAATAAGAGGACAGAGAAATCTGAGGGCCAGGACTAGAAGTGAATAGAATAGTCTAGCTCTGAAAATTTCTTAATCAAGACAGATCTTGCATGCCAAAATTACAGATCTGGCTGAAAAAGAAAAAGATCCTGATGCACTGTATAGAAAGCTACTTGGAGGTTCACAAAAATGTTGAATTTTTAGATGCCATAAAATCCTATGACACTTCAGAAGTGCTCCCACCCCCACCAAGAGTTAACACCTCTCTCATCCCGCCTCACAGGAAGAAAAAGCAGAAGCCTTGCTCCTGCAAGATAATTTGTGACTTCCCTGAGATATGCCCCACTTCCCTTTCTGGCTAGTTAGCAGAGAGCTAAATTACATGGCAGAACAACCAAGCCAGAGGCATACTACCCCTGATAAGAGAAGAAAGACATTATAACCCAAAAGAGATATAAAAACCTAGCCAGAATGAGCCAGCAGGACTTTGACCATGGCAACTATAACATATGGCTGGATAAGGCAGAATTTATCACATAAGGGTAAATTTATCACTTGGGGAATATGCTGTCAGTATTCAAAATTTAAAATCTCCACAAGTCCCCAGAAGATATGCAAAGTTACTTCTCTGCATCTGACGGTTTACTTATTGTAGAAAGCGATATCAGCCATGACAAGTGGCTACGGCAATCTAATCAGAACCTTGAGAGAGAAAAATAGGAAGAACAGGAACAGGGAGAGCTGGGGTAGAGGCAAACATGAGATTGTGCTCAAATTATAAAAATCCTTACATCAAAAATACACCCATAAAATAGCACTCAGCAAGAAAGAGGTACAAACTAACCAGGTAGTCAAAATGACTCAAACAGCTAACACATAAACTTGCTTTGGTCACTGTCTACCTGAAAGATGGCACAATGGTTCCATAAACACAGTAGCTAAGATGGTAAGAATGAAGGCTGCGGATGCATCTAAGATGATGAGTTTCCCCTAACCAAGTTAATTTAGCTATTGTTTCTCTGAATATCCAACCTGCTAGCAAGAGATCAACACTGACTATCATAGCACCAACCTGTGAAGAGACCAACTTTCTACTTGCTTTGCCTCTTTTGTGAACAGGACTTCAGCACCACTGTCCAAGGATTTTTGGAGTATTTGAGCAACTGGGATGAGATCTCACATAACAATGCATCAAGGGAATTAACTATACAGAAAAGTAGATATGAAAGACAGATCATAGTCATGAGACCCTCTAGGTGTATAATATACCTACTTCACTAAATAGAAATGGTAACTTCAGAGTACATTAAAATAAACTTCTAACGATATAATTGAAAGTTCATGAACAGTGCTTTACCAAGATGGAGTATCATCAACCAGAACCAGTATATACTTTGATTCAAAAGACCTGTTATTGTTCACACATTGTGTCAATTTGAGAATTTAGGTTGACTAAGTGACTCAGCAAGGGGACAGGGTGCTCACTTTATAGATATCCTCCTCCTGTACAAGAGGAGGGCATGGAGATGGTGTGGGTGTAAAGGACTCACCCTAGGGTGGACAGCCTGCACACAATATAAGGGAGGAAAAGAGCCTTGCTTCCCCCCACCTTTGCTCTTGTTGTTTTTTCTGTTTTGCTGCCTTGAACTTTTGCTCCTGAGCCGTGCCACCCTGTCTCAGAGCCACCTGATTACAGACCGAAACTGCCACAAAATGTGAGCTAAACAAACCTTTCCTTCCTTAATTGTCAAAGGGGGAATATTTATGTTCCCCACTTTATTATAAAATCCCACTTTATTATAACTCTATAACAATCCCACTTTATTATAAACTCTGACAACATTAGGCTTAGACTAGGAACCAGGTGGCAAAAGGAAGAGTCATTGTTTTGGTAAAGCAGGGCTACTATTAACACAATGGCCAGGGATAAGTAAACATGGCACCTAGGTAACTTGAACACTTCTTAGTATTCTCCTGCCCGGTGATGATGGCAAATGGAAATGTGCGGTAAGAAGAGCATGGTGGCCACAGACGAAGAGGCCTGGAGGCTGATGATATGGATTATATCATCAGGTAAGCAACTGGGACTACCAGAGATGCTAGATGCAAGTGAGAAAAATCTAGGATCATCAGTGAAAGAAGGAGATAATGAGCTTATGTTGTGACCCTGAGACCAGCCGGAATATTGGGCTATAGTTTGGTCCACTAACTTTGTACTCTCAGTTTACCTAAAGAAAAGAAATCCAACAGAATATTAAAGAGCTGCTTCCTATGTATACAAACATTGACAAGCAAATCTGAATGGTCCAAGTGATGAAGTATGATGGACAATGTGATATACCACCAGAGCTCTCTTTAATAAAAGACTCCTGTTCCAGCTCCTTAAATGCTGTTAGAAGGCAGACAACTGTCAACCCCTTCAGAGACTGCTTCAGCTACAGGGTGTTCTCTTGCCCAAGGCTATGAAGCTAGGCATTGGTATTCACCCCTAGTGACTGAAACAGGAGTATAAAGATGTGGTCATCTCTGCCCAACTCAGGACCCCTTCAAAAGGCCATTATAGCTCCAAAGACCTCTGTGGGATTGACCAAAGCAGATTTTATGTTTGTGTCTCAGCTCAATATCTCCTTCTATTCAATCTTTTTCTTTTGCCATCTCCTCAGAGCTGGTGTTCCCAAGGATCTCCAATAATAAATACCTCATGCTCTAAACTCCTCTCATAATATCTCATTGTCACCCAATCTGCAACAGATGGGAATATATGGAGGGAGATGCAAACGGTTCTACGGCATTTATCTATTGAAGAAAGAAGAACATTTTATTTCTAAAAGCAGTATGGTAATACGGTGCTACTGGACCAAGACAAGTTATTTAATAGAGGTGAGAAAGTAGTGAAACTTTCCCAGTTTTGTACCCCTCCCTCATAGAAATTCTATCAAGAGGTAAGGAATGGAGAATTGCCCATGAATAGCAGGGGAGAGAATAGTTGTCTCTGTTACAGGGTACATATACTATATAGAGCTATTGATTGTGCTCATGAACAGGAATGCCCTTTTATACCCTCTGAGTTTTTCCTCAGCCCAGATTTGACAAAAAGCTTCTAGTTGATAGAGAAGACACAGCGAGGCTCTGCTGGGGCAACACCAGGGTAAGACATGCTGTGTAGGTAGAAAAGACACCAGCACACCCCTCCTCCCTGTTGACAGCTCTCAGGCCAGTATTTGATCCCAGAGACCCCAGAGGCCATAAAATCAGG